CCTCAGCTACCACCTAAACCACACATGTTGTACACATATGTAAATAATTTTTACATAGAGAAGAAAGTGAATCAGTAATAATAAAATGTTGAAAACAGAACTTACAGTAAATCATACATTTCTACAGTTTGTTTTATTGTCACATGACAATCATAAGTAAGTGTTTATATTACTGCATTTTAAAATTCAAATTCCAAATACTGAATGGATACACCCTCTCTGTTAACAACATACTGTACTGTATAATACAAGTGAAAATACCAGTAGCTATTGAAGCTATTGAAACCCATGGGTTTTCTACTGCTTTTTGACATTTCATGGAGCCAGAAAAATGAATAATATGCTCAAAATAACTGAGCATATTCTTTATTTTTATGCCTGTTTTATTGTTGCTGATATTTATATGAACAATAAACCTTTTATTATCATGTTTGTTTACAGTTTCACAAAAACACATCACCTCACTGATTTTGAATGTGATGTACATTACTAATGTCATTCTCACTTGTCTGTCAGAAGCAATAAAACAATCAACAGTCAATCACTGGGTGAACAATAATTCACAAGGCAGTATACAAAAATGATTTCTGATCCTACAAAAAAGTAGGATGTAAAGTTGACTGTAGAGAGACATGAGGCACAACGGTCTGTTGCGCAACCTGATCACTTAATATAACAAATGACTCCTTAAAGTTTGAAGTTACTAATTGTCTTATTGAATCACTTTTTCCTTATTTTTCTAACGTAAATATAATATAAGCAGACATTATTGGGTGCTCCAAGATACTATTTTCTCCCTTCCTCTCTTCTCCTTGTCAATGAAAGGAATAGGATTAAGAAGATGGATTAATCCATGTCAGTAATGCAGTGAAAGCCATCAAGTGTGTCCTCTGTTCAGACACCTTTGTTAAAGCTGTTAATCCCTTTGTTCATGCTCAACCTGCTGCACTTGCAGATATATGTGTCAGATGATACAAGATGCAGAGGGAGCTATGCTACTAAGGCTTTGTCTGCTTATAAAAATCCAAATGCTGAAATAAGTATTGAGATTGATCGAGATAAACTTTTCAAATGTGGGAGCAGAGTGTGTTCTAGGGACTATTTAAATCATTAAAGTGACTTTCTGATTCAGAAAACTGAACATGGTAATGTTTCCTTAACTTTCCCCAGAGCAGTTCATTAAACGTTTTAATCTTTACCATAAGCAAATCCATTAAATTCTTCTCTGGAATCTATTTGTAATGTTAACCAATGCAAATAACTTCAATGAAAGGAATAGGATTAAGAAGATGGATTAATCCATGTCAGTAATGCAGTGAAAGCCATCAAGTGTGTCATAAAAGTTGTTTTAAAATCATGACTGTGCATTTAGTGATTTTTGGGAGCAGACCACCTCTGACAAAAAGCACAACATATACTGCAGTATTAAATTTAATATACAGTTTCATTTCACCTCTCCTGTTTTCCTCTTTACCACCACTACTACGGACTGTCGTCCCTGGACCAGAGATCTCTTCACTCTCCCAGTCTCCACCAGCCAGGTCGATGCACGGTCCCTCATATCTGCCTCTGTTCACCACCATCCTCTACCTTGCCTCCTCAGCTGACTTCCATCGCCAGCGACCAGCCAGTGAGTGACCCCTTCTTTTCCGCAGCTCGGTCCACCTCCTCCAGCATTCCCACAGTGACTTATCCCCGCACTGGTTCGCACCCGGTTCTATAGACTCTATATTCAGTATTCATTGCCTTCTTCACCCGTTACTTATTGTACAGCGCTCATTAAAATTGTTTGTACCGCAGTCAGCTCTCTGGGTACCTTTTATCACTCACTCACCCTCCCGTGTGTGAGCGATCCTAACATAAACGGTCTGGGGTCACATCCACACAAATGACTGCATACCAAGACTTGAATGCATCAGCTAAAGAACTTAAAGGGTGCTATTATAAAAATTGCCACTACAAGAACCACCAGTAAAGCTTGTTATACATCCATCATAACAATTCCAGTCAATGACATTGTGTCAAACATGCCTATTATATAGTATTTGCATACGGTGGTGAGTTATAAACCTGCCAGTCATTGTATAAAATACAAAAACAGTGATTTCAGACCTGTATAGTAAGTCGGAGCTACAACTTCAAATCAGAAAAAGTTGGGACAGTTATGTAAAATCAAAAATGAAAATGCTGATGTGTAAATCATCTGTGTCTTGTATTACATCTAAAACACAGCAGCACATTATTTGATGTGATAGCTCAATTTTATTCTTGGTTCAAAACAAACATATCAATTATGATGCCTGCAACACATTACAAAAAAAGTTGACAGTAAAGCATTTACCATGGTGTGATGACATCCCTTTTCACAACACTTAAGACATTCAGTGACTGAGGAAACCAAGTGATTAAATGTGTCAGGTGCCATTTTGCCCCATTCTTCCTGCAAACAAGTCTTAAGGTGTGCAACAGTCCTGGGTCTTCGTTGACTCGATTTGAATTTCAAAAGGCACCACACGCTCTCTACTGGAGACAGGTGGGGACTGCAGGCAGGCCAGTCCAGCAATCTCACCCTCTTCCTCCACAGCCAGGCCTTGATAGTGTGTGCAGAATGAGGTTTTGCATTGTCTTGTTGAAATATGCATGGGCATCCCTGGAGCATATCTTGCTCTAAAATCTTTGTGTTTTTCATCATTAATAGAGCCATCACAGAAATGTAAGTGAACTTTGCCAAGGGCAATGATCCAACGTCAAACCCTGACTTTTGGACTCGTTGCTGGTAACAGTCTGGATGGTCCTTTTCGTGTTTGGTCCAGAGCACATGGCATTCGTTCCTTCCAAAAAAGACCTGAAATACTGATTTATCTGACCATGATACACATTTCTACTGTGTGATGGTCCATCCCAGATGTCTCTGAGCCCAGAGCAGTCGACTGTTCCTCTGGACACTGACATAGGGCTTCCTTTTGGCATAATACAGCTTTAAGCAGCATGGATGTAACTGCGTACAGTAGTGCCTGACACAGGTGTGCAACAATTCTTGATACAGTGCTGTCTGAGAGATCAGACTTGTCCCTTGCTCTATATGCAATGAAATCTCTACTGATTCTTTGAATCTTTCAATTATGTTATGTACCGCCGAGGGTGACATATCCAAATCTCTATTTATCTTTCTTTGATGAACATTGTTTTTAAACATTTTAATAATTTACTTATGCATATGTTGGCAAACTGGTGAGCCTCTGCCCATCTTTGCTCCTAAAGGGCCAGGCTTTTCCTGGATGCCACTTTTGTACTGAATCATGATTTGTTGTTGGTATCACCTCTTTTAAATGGAAACATAATTTAATTGTTTTACCTCATTACTAGCCCTGAAATGCAAAGTCCCAACATTTTTGGAATGTGTTGCAGGCACAAGTGAAGTGTGTTTATTTTTGAACAAAGAATAAAATTGACACGGTATCAAATAATGTGCTGTTGTATTGTTTTCAATGTAATGCAGGATCATTTACAAATAAGCATTTTCAGTTTTAATTTAGATTTTGCATACCATCTGGAGTAGAGGTTAGGGTTAGGGTTACCTGTATGTCTGTGTGTGTACATATACAGTAAGTGTGTGTGTGTGTGTGTTTATATACAATACATTATTGCTTGGTATGGCATCTGTCTAAAATGTACGTGTAAAAAGGTCAACTCTACAGCATACGGTGACAGAGTTGCATTGAAATTTTGGTTTAAAAACATGACTTAATGTTGGCCGCAAACTACTATTTGTAAATGAATATACAATACCTGAAACAGCCACCAGCAGATCAACAAACTGAATCAGCTGTCTACGCAGTTACAGCTGCGATGACGTTTGAGTCACGTGACGAAGGGCCGTCGCGCTTTCTGACTATTTTGCGGCTGTCCGGGAAGCTAGTTAGGCTAGCAAAAATAAAAAAGTTAGGCTAGCAGCTGGCTAGCCACAAACAGGGAAATAATATAAGTTGGTGATCAGCGTTAGCTTATGCATTTAGTTACAGTATTTACAGAATTAGCAGGATCGTTTCTGGGTTAAGCTCCGAGTGGAGGAGAAATTACGAGAATTGGCAGGTAGTTGGACAACATTTTGACATTTTTGTTCCATCACTTAATAACGTCAGTTGAACCTCGGACAAAGTTAGCTAACTAACGCTAAAAAGATAAGTTAACAAATTGCTAATGTTATCAGCTGATGACTGAAATGTATTAATGAGTTAACTTACGTCTAAGTTACAAGTATAGCAGTAACGTTTAGCTAGTAACAAGAGCAATGTGTCAACTGTTATAGCACGATGACTAAGTTGCTCCTGCCTTTAAGCTAATTTAGCTAACTAGGTTAACGCTACGAAATTAATTTCGGTGCTGTTGAGTACCTCAATGGGATATCTGAACCAATTGGACATGTAAAGGACAATCCAGTTAATCTTGGGAATGTTAGCGCAGACCTCGGAGTGTTTCCGTTACATCTTTGTATTTAACATTAGCTATGTAGCAATGCTCCAAGCCTTCTTAAATATCACATATGGTGGGCCGAATAATAGTTAAAGTGTGAGACAAGGTGGTGATAAACGATACATGGTGAGGGTAAGTGTAGTTCAAGGAGGCTGTTGTAATTGTACAGATAATTTTCCAGTCCGTTACCACATGGTGGCACTAATGTAGAGAAAGCCTGATTACCTTTCTTGAAACATGACTAAAGGAAGTGGATGAGATGGTATACTGTACATGTATATCAATGAGAAAGACCCTGCCAGTCATGCTGCTCACCTGTCTAGTCATGTCTGGGTCACTTACTCGGTCTTCATTTGGAGGTATATGACACTTTTGAGACTAATACACCCAACTGAGCACCACACACACACACACACTACTTTGATGGCCGCTTGTACATAGATAACTTGAATTTTCAGAAATCATGGAGTTTGTGTTTACAAAATAACACATTTTCCCCATTGCATCACACATGTACTGTAGATCAAGGTAGGTGTCTGGTTTCCCATATCAGAGGTTAAGAAGTATGGATAATGCATACTGTAGGAGGGAGATGCAGACGTGCTGGCCATTTTAGCATTTGTGTATCTCATGCATATGTGGACTTTCCATGTGATTTATACATTCGCTTTTGTGCTACTTCCTTTCTCTTCATCTGTCTCACATTTAATACTCCTTGGCAATTCTTTTCCAGTCCAGGGTTCCAGACTTTATCAAGTCGTTTCTAAAATATGCTTTAATGTATATGTTGTGTTACAGTGTGCATGTTGTGACAGATTTTGAGTTTGGCCATTGTCAGCATAGAGATGGACGGAGATGACGTCAGTTTTCCTCCAGATTCATCAGATGATCACTCGCAAAGAGGAAGTGTAGCTTCTTCAGCAACACTTTCCCGTGGTACGGTGCAGCACACTAAATTAACTCCGGTGTCTTTCTAACATGCATTATTTTCATTTACTGCAAAGTAACTAAATACATAATTTTGACATGGTATTGGCTTATTGTTTCTCTTTGTAATGTTTCTTTTTTTGTGATTTTGTGATTGTTCACACAGCTCAAGAGGTGCTTATATACCTGTTTGGTGACAGCGCAGTACACTTAACTGTAGAAGGGCTTGGCAGCATCACTGTGCAGGAGTTGGGCCGCATTGCTCGCGAAGCTCTCAATATTCCTGAGTCTGCACAGGATGTGTTTGCCTTCTGGTTGTGCTCTCCACTGCTCGGTGAGACCCACTGCCCCACACGCTTTACACTCAAAAATGCTTTGACTCTGAATCTGATCAAATGGTAAGCAAACACTGATGTTTTGAGGATGTTGATGTGTATATGGATGCCTCTTTCTTTATAAAATGGCCACCAAATATTATACAATCTTATATTTTTGGCAAGATGTCAGCCAGGATATGTGCACGTCTACATACCTGGACCCAAGTCATATAGCCTAGATATAGAGCAGATAAAAAAAATCAATATAGTATAAGCATCAGAATTGATTTCTTTGTTCCATCTTGTCTCCTCATTACTACTCAGAGTTGCAGTTAAAGGCGAGGCATCAACCTTACAAATTGTGTCGGCAGTGGCTGGGGCCGCTGTATCGCTTCACTGAGGCCTCAGAGGAAGACATTTCACAAGGTGAGAGTTTGGACTGCATGTTGCTGTTTACATGCATTAATAAGTAACCTGACTGAAAATTGTCATAAAGTGTGACATTGACTCAGGTCAATGAATCAGTTGCTGTGATATGAGAGCAAAGCCACTGAAGGAAAGATCATTACTTGTACCAATGTGCCTTCAATTCAGAGCTGCATAAAAGTTCAACTAAATTGAAGAACTGGACACATCGCTTTCCACAGCTGAACAGTAGGATAATTGTGAAAACAGTTCACAGTTGGATAAATAAGGATCAAGACCCCTTACTTTTCTGTCAAACTCCAACCAAAAGTGGAAGAAAACAAGGCTACACCATATTCAGGTTTCACAATATATGTCCACTAAAATATGGTAACTTTGGAGTGTAGATGAATGCTCTGATTTTCAGCCTTAAGCCTATTTCCAAACACTGCACATGTTTTTTGTGCCAAGCGTAGCCTGTTTCTTTTTCTTCAGCTGTTGCCTCTTGATTTGTAGCTGACTTACAGTATAAGCTGTCAGTGCTTAGTAGCTTAATCGTGGTAAATAAAGGATAAAAGTGCTCTCATTTGTTTGGAAGAAATAAAAAGGAAAACAAGGTAGTTGGCACAATAAACACCTGTGGCTGAACAGGAAAAGAAAGGCTGCAACTTGTGGAAAATTGAACTGCATCAAGAGAAACCACACAAAAAAAACAGCAGGAAAGATTTTAAAATTACTGCATTTTAGTACATTTTGTTAAATAAAATAAGATAACATGAAATATTTATATAATACAGAGTAAATATTGTTGGCTCTTTAGACATTTTAGCCCTTAAATCTTTTATGTCAAAAATATTACTGTTCATATGTTCATGCCTGACCAGTCAGTATTATGCTGAACAAGTCCTGTAAACATTAGAAAACCGAAATGTTAAATAAATGTTGCATACAATGGTTATTTTCTATTCTTCAAAAATGAAATATTGCTGCCAAATTTGAAGGTAGTTAACTAATGCTTATTCAGTTTGTCAACAGATGAATTAGTCAATCATTAATAGTTAATTTATAATAACTACTTTAAAGCAAGATTGCCCAAAAAGTGCAGTTGTGGTCATTAGTTGTTTTTCTTTGTCTTATGTGATGTTAAAGGGAATACTTGGATTTTGGACTTAGTCAGACTAATGAAGCAGTTTGATGTAACTTTATAAAACTCAATTAGCATGAGGTTAATGTAATTCAGCCATTAAGTGGCATTGGTGCGTAGTATCGGACAACTTTTACAAGCAGCGAGTATAGTACTAGAGGGTGGTAGGGATACCACCCACTGTACAGAACTGTGAGCCAGAGCAGAGGGGGTTGGAGGGGGCTTGAGTGGTAGATGTTACCTTCACATTTATCACAGAGTTTGTCTCGATACCTTCACTCCTCTGCTCTGGGCGATGAGGCTGGATCTAACCCATTTGAGCGCTCTGAGAACAGATACATTTCAAACGATAATGCATTGCTGTCCTCTGCTTTTGCCCCCAGATGAACCATTTCTCCAGTACAGACGGAATGTGTTTTATCCTAAATCTAAAGAGCTGCAGGTACTACTGAGCCAACTTCTCTATGAAAATTGAATTATGAAGACACTGTTGAGTGTCACTTTTACTTAAACTGCAAGTTTTGTAAACCTTTAAGATGTATAAATGTTCTATTTGAAGACGCTGGACTCGGACTGACTCTGATAACTGGTTAACTCTTGTCTCCCACCTGAGCAGATAGATGATGAGGGAGTGCTCAGACTCCTGTATGAGGAGGCCAGGAGCAACATCCTCACTGGTCGATATCCTTGTGATCCTGAGCACTGGGCCAATCTGGGCGCCCTGTCTCTTGCTCTCGATGAGAGAACTGATCTGGACAGTCAACAGTTTATTGCTACTATAAGGTAAGTTAGAAAAGTTGGTTTTAAAAGGAATTGTGGTATTTTTGTCTGGCACGGTTGATTTTTCAGTTTCTCTTAAAAAATAGTTTGGCATTTTGGGAAATGCTTACATAGAGTTAGAGGATCGATCCACTTCATATAAGACTACAGCAGGAGATGGTTGATGTAGGAGTGAGTAAAGCCACCTGAACATGTGTTTAATCTGCACAAACACTAAAGTGTAAACATGCAGTGATTTCCTGAAGACTGTGCCTGGCCAAAAGATACACCAGCAGGTAAAACCAGAACTTGGTCCTTCTCCACCTTGGATTTCATACAGAATAAACGGTAGATTATTTTTTTTACTTTTGGGCTTGTAGTTGGAATATTTCTCCATACTTAATGTCTTAATAATCATACTAAGCTAACACATACAGTATATCAAACTGTTCTAAACAAATTAGCCTCTTTGAAGTAAACTGCAGAATGTATCTAAAGGTGGCTGTAAAACCTATGAAGTATAAACTGTTTTGGAGAAAAGGAATACACTTAAACAGATAACTGTTGTGTAAGTACAGTATATGCACATACACTTGTACACTATGAACTTAAATGAGTCAATGTGCCATTTTCTGCTAAGATACTCATCACTGTGCATGATGCAAATAATTTAACTTGACATTTTTGTCAACATGAGATCGTATTTGACTTTCTGTTTTTGAGCAGCACATGCTCAACCTTAACATTTTGAGTCTCACAGTTGGTTCGGTAATAGCTTGTCCCTTTTAAAAATGAAGAACAATGCCCAGGCTGCAGTTGGTTGAAAATCCACAGGCATTGTGAAAGTGGTCAACAGTGCTTCTTTTGTTTGAAGAAGCTTTTTTTTTTTTCTTGCATTGATAACACTACTGTGCCACTGCAATCATTTTTTCAAATAATTGTTGGTTTGTACAGTTGGTGCCAAGTACCAGAATGCACACAGTCATATTTTTGACTAGCGTGGGATGATCATGGGATTGTTTCTTTTTTCCTCTTTAAAGCCTTTTGAGACTTTGTGAATGTGAATAAAAGCTCATAATTACAAGTAGTTGACAGGGCCTATGTAACACTGTATGTATAATATTGCAATACTAAAGAAGTGTAGTCACTTGTATGTTCTCCTGATGCTGACAAGCTGCCTACAATTAGTAGTAACATACATCTGTCCTATTATTGTTCCCTTGTAGTGTTTAATAATGTACCTCCGGTTTTTATCTGTCACCTTTAACCGTTTTATAGCTTGCTCCTAGGAAAAAAAAAATCCTTGTCCTCTACACATAACTTAGATGTTCAGCATAAGTAGAGCCCAATTAGATCAAAGTATGAAATGATTGCTGCTTGATAATCTGCATATTCATTTGATTGAATCATTCTATTATAATTAGTGTTTGATGTTTGTTTTTGACCAAGAGCATAACTAGGCATCATCATCATGATGGTGGCACACGTAGACGCAGCAGCTCAATGCTCTCCCTTTTGGTGCTTTGTATGGTTGTTTATGTATGTGTGGCTACTTGTTTTGAGCACATTCTGCTGGGCGAATAACATTTGTGGTTGAAATGATCTCTTGGAAATTGGACTATGGAGCAAGCAGGCTATTATGGCTGAGTTTATCCGCTCTTATGGCATAGCGGTGGATATAGCCAGAACTCAGGACTCTCAGTGGTTTACCATTCCCACAGGCAGGAAACGGAGGCTGCAAAAGGACAGGAGGCAAAAGTGGGGCTGCCAGGCAGGCGTGCTGGTCAGGCTGCGTAAGCACCCACTCAAGCCAACGCTTCCCAGTATATTCCTTGCTAATGTAAGTTCTATTTTGTATAGGCTTCGCCCTCTAAGAGCTCTCGCTGTTGGGTTTATTCCTTGCGCATGCGCAGTCCTGAAGTGATTTCTTTCATGCCCTGTGCCCTGCACTGGGCTGACCCCACTCAGGTCCACTGTGGCTGTATAAAAGCCTGCGTGACCTGAGCTCTGCTCCCGCTTTTTTCTTCAGCAGTTCTGAAGAGCAGTTCATAGAGCTACAGTGCCTTGCGAAAGTATTCGGCCCCCTTGAACTTTGCGACCTTTTGCCACATTTCAGGCTTCAAACATAAAGATATAAAACTGTAATTTTTTGTGAAGAATCAACAACAAGTGGGACACAATCATGAAGTGGAACGAAATTTATTGGATATTTCAAACGTTTTTAACAAATAAAAAACTGAAAAATTGGGCGTGCAAAATTATTCAGCCCCCTTAAGTTAATACTTTGTAGCGGCCAACACAAACTAGACTTTTTCAGTAATTTGTTGCTTTGCTTTCCTTCATCAAAAGGACCTAAACAATTGTTAACCTCAGCTCGAAAATGATTTTCAGAACTCAAAGATCTCCGGTACAGCCTAACACTAAACAATTCCTCATGATCTGCCTCTGCAGGGGTACTAATGCCATCGGAGCCACACTGTATAAAACAAATACATGAAACGATCGATTTAATTCATGTAGACTGATGAATGCACTTTTGACTGTTTTGGCATTTTGTGATGTGACTTTGTGGTGTTGGGTGCCTTTAATCCTTGTGTATTTCATCTCACTCCAACAGTGTGTGAATACATTTTATATACTTCTGTTTGCAGGAGTGTGTGTGTGTGACAGACAAATAACATATGTACAATAGGTCAGAACAAAACTATCTGCCCAGTTAATGTAATTGTAATATGATCGTTAAATTGGCTCATGGATAGATGTTAAAACGAACCACCCTGTTGTTTATCTGTATTCAATGGCCCGTGAGTCAAAATTCACACCTAAAGTCATTCAAATGAATCATCATTAGCGTGGAAGGAAAATACTTAAACAAGTCTCACTCATCCACTAACATGAATTAGCGAATTGCGTGTTTGCTTAACTGCAACTAACAAAACGAGGATGTAGGTAAATATTGAAATTCCCTTCGATTGGTGGCCAGTCTGTAAAGCACCGGGTGAGCAGGCGCTCCCTATTGATGAGCTTCAGCTAATCCATCGCATTTCCCTGTAAATAGCTTTCTGCATGAGAAAGAGACCCCCCCCCCCCCCCCGCCTGGTGTTCCTTGTTCTTCATGATGCTCTCTGTGCTTTAAACGGACCTCTGAGACTATCACAGTGCAGGTGCATTTATATGGAGACTTGATTCCACACAGGTGGATTCTATTTATCATCATTAGTCATTTAGGTCAACATTGGATCATTCAGAGATCCTCACTGAACTTCTGGAGAGAGTTTGCTGCACTGAAAGTAAAGGGGTTGAATAATTTTGCACGCCCAATTTTTCAGTTTTTTATTTGTTAAAAAAGTTTGAAATATCCAATAAATTTCGTTCCACTTCATGATTGTGTCCCACTTGTTGTTGATTCTTCACAAAAAATTACAGTTTTATATCTTTATGTTTGAAGCCTGAAATGTGGCAAAAGGTCGCAAAGTTCAAGGGGGCCGAATACTTTCGCAAGGCACTGTATGTCTAAAGAGTGAAGTTTCTTGAACGCCCACCCGGGTCACTCACTATTTGAACTGTTACCATCAGGCAGATGTACAGAACAATAAAAACTGACAAATAGACTAAAAATAGTTTCTACCCCAGAGCTATAACAGCTCTAAACGCAGTTTTATAGACACACAATGTTAAAGTAGTCTATTAATGCAGAATGCGGTGGATGATTTATGTATTTGTTTTTACCTATTTATCTTGAGTTTTTTTAATGTACTGACACTGAGAGAGTGCAGTCATTTTTGTTGTAACCATAGGTACAATAACAAAGAATATTTGATTTGATCAGCGGACATCTTTATGATGCTGAAGAGATTTCATTTTGTTAGTGGTAGAGTTTCAGAAGAATTCAAAACTCCCAATAGCCCTTAACTATAAAGAACTGTATTATGAGACCAACACATTTAGGCTTGTGCCTTTATTGGGGTCGTCCTAAAACATGTTATAAAGGATGTATAAATGGGATGCTCGTGAAAGAAAAAAATGCATATAACAGTTGAGTGAAGACGAAATACAGGAATCTGTAGTGTCATGTTTTCCAAGAGTGGAGAAGACAGATGACTCAAGGAGTAATGCAAACCACACAGTCATAATGGAAAGTCCAGTAGCATAAGCCAGTATAGTCAGTAGTGGAAGAGGAACTCGGACTGTATAAAATAAAAGTATTACCAGAAAAATGGCACAGTTCACATTAATGTATATTAGTTATAATTATTGATATTGTGTAAATCACTTTAATGTTGCAGCCAGTAAAGGTAGAGCTAATGTTAACTACCTTGTATGCTTATAATTTTTAGTACTTTACATACTGCTGGGTACAGTAGCTTGTGAATTTTATACCAAGGATCAAAAAAGTTTTATTATATGGTATTTTGTTTAATTTCATTCAGAAAAGAAACTAAAGTTATCAAATAAGTACAATATTTTCTCTAAAATGTGGTGAAGTGGAAGTATGAAGAAACAGAAAATTAAAATACTCAAGTTCAGATATGGGCAGCGCCGTTGCCTCACAGCAAGAAGGTTCTGGGTTCACAACCTTTCTGGGCGGAGTTTCCATGTTCTCTCCGTGCTTGCGTGGGTTCTCTCCGGGTGCTCCGGCTTCCTCCCACTGTCCAAAGACATGCGGCTTAGGTTGATTGGTGACTCTAAATTGCCCGTAGGAGTGTGTGTGTGTGTGTGTGTGT